TCCTGAGACAATTGCTGGTGTCTTTTATCCTGTCCATTTTCTCTCTTGCCTCATTTTTTTCTCTTCCTGTTTTCTTTTTTCTTTTCATATATTCTGTATTCCACACACATGCCTTTTTTTCCTCCTTATTCCTTGTTGCTCTTTTACATATTTTCACTGACTCTTCTGCTCCTCTCCAGTAGCTCTGCCTATACACTAGAATAAGGGTGGGCAAACTACAGCCCTCCAGATGTTTTTAATCCGGTCCTCGAGCTCCTGCCAGGGAGCAGGGTCCGGGGCTTGCCCCGCTCCAGCCAAGGAGTGGGGTTAGGGGCTTGCCCTGCTCCGCGCAGCTCCTGGAAGCAGCGGCATCCCCCCCCCTCCGGCTACTATGCATAGGGGCTGCCAGGGGGCTCTGCATGCTGCCCCCGCCCCAAGTGCCTCCCCCGTAGCTCCCATTGGCTGAGAACCGTGGCCAGTGGGAGCTGTGGGGGTGGCACCTGCGGACGGGGCAGTGCGCAGAGATGCCTGGCCGCACCTCTGCGTAGGAGCTGGAAGGGGGACATGCTCCTGGTTCTGGGAGCTGCTTGAGGTAAGCGCCGCCTGGAGCCTGCACCGTGACCCCCTCCCGTACTCCCCCTCCTGCCCTCCGAACCCCTCGGTCCCACCCCAGAGCCCTCACCCCCCCAGCCGGAGCCCTCACCCCCTCCCGCACCCCAACCCCCAATTTTGTGAACATTCATGGTCCGCCATACAATTTCCATATCCAGATGTGGCCCTCAGGCCAAAAAGTTTGCCATCCCCTGCACTAGAATCTGCAGCTCACGCTGTCATAGGCTGTTAGCGCTGCAGGCCTAGCAATTTTAAAAAATTGTCCTTTTAAAAAAAAAAAAATGGCCTCTCCAAATTCACATTTGTGGAATACATTGCACCTCATCCTTAACATATTTAAAAGTAGACTGGAGAAATCAATAGGAAGCATACTTCCATTAACAATCTTGCATTGACGGCGGGAGAGGCTAGATCTGTTTTCCATATTTAATTTCTGTGATTCTGTAATCAGAAATCTAATTTTGATTGGTAATTACGTAATCTCAATTTCTAAAGCTAAGATCCTTGTATACTGTTATACTGCCTTTCTCTTTTCTTCTACTTCGTTCCCTGCTTCCACTGTAGTCAAAGCTGCCAATTTCCCCACTCCTCCCCCACTCAGTGCTGTCCTGAAGCCTGATCAGCTGCTTTTTAGTATAAATTTAATATTTAACAATTCAAATAAATGAAGGCAACTAGCCCTTTTCAAGGCCATCCTTCAGGAACTGTAGTATCTTTTGGAATTCAATCTTTGATCCAGGCACCAGTCCCCTGTGCACAGTGTTCAGATCTCCTCCTATATGTACTAGAGAGCAAGCAAGGATGCAAGCTAAGTGGAAAAAACTCTTGATCCAAATGACCTATTTGTGTTGAGATGCCCTGTTAAGAAGCCATAGTAGCACCACTCCAAACAGTACTACATTAATGCAACCTAGGGAACTTTTAGTGCTTTCCAGGAGGATCCACAATGGGCCAGTTAGTGTGCAGCATACTTACACAAAGAAGTATGGTTGATACACAGTCCTGGAGAAACCACACAGGGAAGAAAAAAAGTTGATTGTTTTTATACCTGGGTATTCCAGCGATTTTTGGTGTTGCCTATTTGGTAAAGGCCATTTTTGTGCTCGCCTGCTGGGAGCATTCATGTGTGCTAGGAGCTGTTGCTGGAAAAAGGTGGGAAAATTGTATAGTAAAATAGGTTTCTAAGTAATTAGCACATTTAGAAGTTGACTTGTTCAGTTTTCCATCTGCACAGGTCCCAGATTCTTAGGATCCTAAAATAATATTTTCCTAGATCCTAATAGGTTTTCTAATAATTATTCCTTTAAATGTTTACCTGCAAAAATCATTAGCTTTGAGCTTTACTCAGTAACTCAGTGACATGTTTGTTCAGAATGCAAAGTCAAAAATCAGGTTAAAAAAATCAATGTCATTAAAAATGATTATTCTACTATTATAATCAAACTGGAAATTTTCTGTTAGGCCCCAAGTCAACAAAGTACTCAAGTACACACCTAACATTAAGCACCCAAGGTGCTTGCTGAAGTATCTTGAAGAATTAGGGCTTTAGTCCTAAACCCATATACTGAATTAATACCCCCATCTCTTTGTTTTATCCACCTGTTGTCTATAGTCTGACACTAAGATTGTGAATTCTTTGAGGCAGGGACTGTCTGTTATATGGGTGTATAGTGCCTAACACAATTACACCCTGGCCTCAAGGTGTTATTGCAATAAAATAATAATAATGTCAATTGTAATTTGTTACATTACATATGGAAATAAGGTAAAACTGCAGAGTGCACTTATTGTTTTTATATTGGTTTATTAATGTAGGGATGTGAAATTAAAACTGATTATGGACCTTTACTGCACACGCTGGCTGAGTTTGGATGGCTTCTTACATGTGTACTGCCTACACCGATCATCCGACATGACAGGTAACCAGAAAGTAGTTTAAAGCATAAAATATGTATTTCTGGAATATATTATAAATATAAATCTCAGAGTGTATATTTGTATATATAACTGATCCATATGCAATAAGGAAGAATATATAAATAATGTTAATGAAATTCAGGATGTAAGTAGCTTTATTTAGATAAGATTTTGTGGATTTTAAAGAAGTGCCTTGTGATTTAGGCCATTGACTTCAAATGGTTTTGGATTAGGCCCTGAGACCTCAACTCAGAAAAAAATTTAAGCGCATGTTTAATTCTAAACATGAGAATAATCCCATTCCTATTTAGGAAAGCATTTAAGATTTTTACTTATTCCATTTGACCTTCCTGAATAAGGATGGGATAACTTTTATGGTTAAAGTTAAGCACAACAGTGTTTTGCTGAGTCAGGGCCTGAGAGACTAGAAACATGTTGTTTCAACCACTTAAGAAACAACACTATCATAAAACCAGGCACATATTATTTATAGCAAATTAAGGTATGTGCTAATCCAGCAAAATTGAGCCTGTTCATCTCCATTGATGAGTGTGCCATGTTTCATCATTATATTCATAGCAAACTAGTGGTGTATTTTTTTGTCGCTTCAAGTAATTCCTTCTCACTCTCTCTCTCTCTCTCTCACACACACACACACACACTTTCTAATGCAGGGGTTCTCAAATTGGGGGTCGGGATCCCTCAGAGGGTCATGAGGTTATTACATGGGGGGGGGGGGTCCAGGGCCGGCGCTTCCACTAGGCAACTCTAGGCGGTTGCCTAGGGCGGCAGAATTTGGGGGGCGGCATTTTGCCGCCCTTGGCGGAAATTCCGCGGCGGGGGTCCTTCCACTCCGGGTCTTCGGCGGAAATTCGGCGGCAGGTCCTTCACTCACTCCGGGACCCGCCGCCGAATGCTCAGAGGAGAAGCGCTGCCGCCTAGGGCGGCAAAAACCCTGGCACCGCTCCTGGGGGGGTCGCAAGCTGTCAGCCAGTCTCCACCCCAAACCCCGTTTTGCCTCCAGCATTTATAATGGTGTTAAATATATAAAAAGTGTTTTTAATTTATAAGGTTAGGGGGTCTCACTCAGAGGTGTGCTATGTGAAAGGGGTCACCAGTGCAAAAGTTTGAGAACCACTGTTAATGCATAGTATTTAAATCTATTTTTAGATTAAAGGCTAAATTATACTTTTCAGATCTGCACAGCAGATTTCACCTCTCTTATTCTGTTCTCACAACATATGCAGAATTCTCAGAGATCTCAATGGGAGATCCATGAATGCATAAGTTGGACATGAGTGTAATGCTTCAAGAACTGCTCCAAATAAATGGACTTATTCCAAGTGAGTTGACACAGTTCCTGACTCAACCCCCTTCAAGTGGAAAAAAAAAAAAGTATAACTGGCTAGTGAACTGTTTACTCAGGAATAGATAAAATCCCTTTAGTACAATTAGTTTTAGACAGGAGAAAGTTTTGGGCACAAAAAATGGCAAATTGGAGACCTCTAAAAATCACACATTTTTTGCTATATTCTGCAATTTCTTATCAATTCTAAGCTTGCTTTCTTTTTTTAAATTGTAAGCCCTTCCTCTTGTGGAGATGCTGTGTAAAATAACATTCTGTTACCCTTTTAACTCATCCCTGAGGAAAACTTTCTTCACCTAATAACAGTAGCAGCAAAAGTGTGAACACCCAAGGAATTGTGAATTGCACTGCCTACAAAGGGACCATTTAAAAGTTTGTATTATTTGACCCATTAGCCGCTATATAAAATATTAATTAAGCCTGAGTCAAGGAGCTTTTCTAAAAGATGGGGGGGGGGGGAAGGAGAGAAGGACATACAACCCAGTACCCTGGCATGATGCTTACGTGATGATTCTTTGTGGTGTGCTGTCTTTTAAATAAAGCATAACATTACTGTTACTAATTGTGGTCATGCAAAAGGAGGGAAGTTGCATCCTGGCCAGATTTGAACCCGGATAGTTATATTATGGCTATGTTAAAAAAAAAAAAAATCTCCGCTGGATAAAGTATTTGTTTCCTGTCCCAAATTATTGGATATTGTTTGTTTGGGTGTACTGTTGTGTTAGGGTGTCTGGTGAAGTGCCTTTGGAAGAAACTCACTTAAAATGAATCTGATAGGAACTATATAAATGTAAGTCCCTAAAGGGACAGTGTGAATTGATAAAACTGTTATAAAAAATGTGTTGTACCATCTGAGTAGAATTTCTATTGATAACTACTATTTTCAGGTCTCAATATAGCTATTTTAAAAAAAAGAGAAAATTCCTGAAACACTAGTATTTGTGTGATAGGCATTATGCCATCATCAGATTATCCTAAGAATCCAAGTTAAAAGTCTGAATACAGAAGAGCATTCTATGCAGTCTATACAGCTGTTCCTTTTCCCAGACTTTGAACTCTGACCTCAGAACCAAGATAGAATATTAACAGGTTTCAGGAACAGTATCTAATAGACTACACTGCTAAGAACAGTCACAATTAGCATTTTTATCTCCAATAAATGGAACATTTTGGGAGGTTATTTAGTAGAGCACTAGGAATTCTGGCAAATGATTTTTCCGTATCTTTAAACAAAGTTAACTTGTATAAAATAATTCTTAATTAAACTCTGTTTAAAAGCAAAGACTTAACAGCAAAATCTGCTTTCCATTTTTAATTTCTTCTTTAAAAGTTTTCTGTTTTCCCAGTTTATCACACAGAATCTGTTCTCTTCATTAACTATTAATGTTCATTGTTTCTCTTTGTAGAGATGTGATAGTCTCAAAACTGACAATAAAACTGACTGATCGTCCTCCCATTAATGTTAGCATAGAAACTCACATTTAAGGAAAGCAGGGTTGGGTTCTAGCCAGATTTATCATGTGATGAATGGGCTTTCTTTGCTGTCTCTTGTGGTTCTGATCTGAATCAGCATGGTGTGATGCACTGAAGTTCTAGATTCAACTTCTGAAACTTATAATAGTTTTCCTGTTTTTGCAATAGATAGTCTACTTTACAAAATAAAAGCTCCTATAAAGGCATGACAGCAGCAGTTCATGGTTTTTTGTCTCAGATCTGGGAAAGCGAGTGAGAATCTGGCAAGCCTGCCCTCTGCTCTAACTCCCCATCTCTAGGGTTAGGTCACATAGGACACAGGAAATATTTCCTTAAAAACAGTTTTCTTTGCTGTTTAAAAACATAGCAGAGAAGCTGGACATCAGGACCTAAAACCTACAGCACTGTATGTTTGTGCAATGACATTTGAAAAACAAGCAGTGACTTTGTAGGAATTAGTCCAGTAATGCGGCATAGGATCAGCATTGTTGTGATTGTTATTATTGGAGTACAGTGGAGTGTGTCTTGGAGAAATGGATACCTGATGTGACTTTTTTAAAATATTTGAGGTACTGATGGATACTATTATCCTGCTAGCAACAAATGAGGGGTTTATTGAACCTTGGTAGGGGCAAGAACAAAATGGAGTTAAGACTTGTGATAATTCTAAATATGAAGTAAAGGGTATTAGCATTCTCTGGAATGTTTATTAAAGAAAAAGGTAATTTACAAAGACAGCCTGAAATGTAAGAAAACATTTTTCAGACTGAGAAGTTATTTGCCAGTTCTTGGGAATTACCAAAAGTTCAGATGCTCAGGATATTATTATTAGTAATTTTAGGAATGAAATTTGTTGCCTCTCTTCTTAGTGGTGGATAAAGCTTTTGGGGGTAAATCTACCCAACAATGCCTAATGCTACAATAGTTACTGATACAGATTTACTCTAAATTCACATAATTAAGAGAGTCCTGGGGGTCTAGGATTAAATCTCTTCTGCATCATTTTTCTGAAGAATTTTCCCTGTTGTAGCAGAGGACTCTCCAGTTGAAAGCAGAGAGACTGAACTCTCCAAACTAATCCACGATTGTTGGAAAGTCTGAATGTTGTTTAACTCAAACTGATGGCACAGCATTATTTTCAGGATCACAAACAAACTGAGTTTGGTATTAGAATTTACAACTCAGCTTCTTGCCTTCTTTTCCTAGGAAATGTCCCTAAACTTCATCTTAAACACTTGAAATATCCTGCATGATATCATCCACATACACAATATTCAAGCATGACAAATAGCATCTTAGTATCAGAGCTGGTGGCAACCTTAACAAGCTCCATATTTTTTTAAAGGACTGATTTAATGATCACATGTATATTAAGAAGACAAATGTATTGCCCACACACCATAAACAGACAAACAAATTGCCAGTGGGATTAACAAAAGAGTCTCTGTGCTCCTCTCCCATGACCACCCTGCCAAAAAGGACACTGGGGGGGGGGGGGAGGAGAGGAAAAACATCTCCCCTACAGAGATTTCAGCAGCTTTACTTTGTAGTGACCTTTATTTCCCCTCACTGCTTACTGCAGTCCCTGAAAATGGGCAGGACAGACAGTCTGCAAGCACCAGAAGGCAAATATAGTGCAAAAAACTGACATTGCTGTAATTAGTTTATTGTCACTAATTACTTAACCTAAGTTCTCATAATGCATTGGACCCAGGAGAAAGCGGGAACGTGGGAATGAGAGGAAAACTTGAAATAGCTCATTTTATGTATTTTTCTCTTTCTAATTTAAATTCTGTGGCCATCCCACTGTCATTCAATTCTGTTGTGAATTAAGCCCATGGCTGTTTTGTCGTGTGCAGCATTTCAATAAGGCTGGACTTTAAAAATTGTTAGTTTGCCTATTACCTACCCAGCATTCACCATCTCCCCTTTTCTTGATCAGAGTTTAAACATTTAAAAGCTTAATATTATTTGTTTTTCCATTCCTTTATATGAGATGGGATGTACAAGTCCTATACAAAATCAGGCAGAGGCCCTGCCCCATGCTAGAGAAACCATTCAACTTGAAAGAGAGGATTCCTACCTGGCATCATTGAGGCAGGCATATAAGCAGGAGGGAAGTGTGTGGGTAGGGGCTTTTCGAAGCATATCTATACCCAAGTA